CCAATCACTGTAATTAAGATCCCGAAGCATGGTGCACGTGAGTAAAACTGTTAGCACCAGCTTTTTGGTCATAATTCACTTCTGGTAATTACACTCTGTGTAATGGAACTTCTCCAGCAGTTTTAACTAGGTAAGTAAGATGTTCCTTGTTTTTCCAAATCTTAGAAGCTACTGGGTAGAACTACCTCCATAGTTCAATGGCTTTCATCCTTGCCCACCCCGTAGGTGGATGAGTTTCAGTAGTGGGTAGAGTGAGTCCTGTGCTTGTGTTAACTACCTTACAGAGGCAGGGAGACACTTAATGAATTAATAGTTGTCAAGTGCTTTGATATCTTTGGATGAAAGGCACTACAGTAGTGTAAAGCATTCATATCCAGGCTCAGGCGCAACAGGAACTCAATTAAAAACTAATTCAATTTCTTACCTAAGAGTCTGAGTACAGACCCCGTTTTGCTGCATGTGACAGACATTGTTGAGATCCAGCTGAGACCTGATTTCGAAATGATCACCTGGTTCACCCTCTCCTTCACTTCCTCACCATTCTGAGACTAACAGAATTTTTGAGAGATGGCACATAAAGCCATAAAGCGCACAACCAAAATAATTTTCTATGGTTCTTGAAAATTTTTTTTTTCAGATGAAATTTGGCTTTTGAGTCAATATTTATCACTTGAAAATACAGAAATTTCCAGCAACAGATAAATTTCATAATGATCTTCAGAAATGGCCTCCCAGCTTTTCAAATACAATTTTACAGATAACCCCACCAGTGAAGCCCTAAGACACTATGCATGATGCTTGCATCAGTTAGCACGAGCTCAAAGCAGAAATCAGACTGACCTTAGGTCATGATATGGACTACTATCACTGTTGTTGTGTGCTGTCAAGTCAATTCTGACTCCTAGCGACCCTATAGGACAGAACAGAACTGCTCCACAAGGCTTCCTAGGCTGAAATCTTTACGGGAGCAGATTGCCAGGTCTCTTCTCCCATGGAGCAGCTGGTGGATTCAAACCACCAGCCTTTTGGTTAGCAGCTGAGTGCTTAGCCATTGTGTCACCAGGGCTCCTTGAGTAAGGGCTCATAATACACTGTATAAAACACGTGAGACAATACCGCAAGCTGCGCCCTGCAGACATCTACCCATTACTTGGTAGAGAAGGATATCATTTTTCATTTCCACGTTGCCTGAAGTCAGACTTGAAGGTAACTAACAACAACAACAAGAAGTCTGTGTAGGGATAAAAAGGTCTGGGTTAGTTACTTAGATCAAGTTTTGCTCTTACATCTCAGTACAGCAGCACATATTCAAAGGGGGTGAGCATTAGAAATATTGTCACTGGGCACTTGAGAAGGCAACCTTAGGGCTATTGAGCACTGGGATGGACTGGATTGTAGAGCCAATGTACTCTAAAGATGGCTACTCTTAGTCTACAATTCTCGATGCCACCCTTCTCACAGCCTCCCATACTTCTGACATAACACTTAGGCAGCACTCACCCACACACATTTATCAAGAACTCCTACGTGTAACCATGTGCTGGGTGCAGGAAATGCAACTATGAAGAAGAACATCAAGTCCCCTGCCTTCAGGGCTCTTCCTCTAATGGAAGAAGAGAGAAATAAACAAGCAATTAAATAAACCTGATAATTTCAGATTGTGATAAATGTTATAAAGAAAAAAAGAATAAAGGGGAGCGACTAGATAGGGCAAGGCCTGGGTCGGTCTTGCTCATGGTGGTAGTCTTAGCACTAGCACAGTGCCTAGCACATATTAACTGCAAAATCAATACTTGTTGGAGGGATGAAGAAATGAATCTGGACCTCAGCAGGAACACAGGATAAGAATGTTTCCTCCCAGACTTGAAATGGGCCTAACAGAGTAGAACAGCACTATTCCAAACTGCTCGTTCGGTACTGAGGAAACTGAGGGAAGGTCAAAGGGGTTAAGTGACTGACATCAGATTTCACAGTGAGCTGATGGCAGAGCTGGTGCAAAGGAATGCTTGGCACAGGGGCATTCTATCTGCTCACATGTTTTTATCTTCTTCAAATCTCTCCTCTTTATCACATACTTCTGTAATAAGAAACTCTAAGGAGTTCTTTGAGTCTTAAGTAAGCATCTACGATCAATAGTCACTGTATCGTCAAACTGTAATTTCTCTTCTCTTACCTTTTTATTCAGATATTAGCCTTCCTTCATTATCACAGTAAAATCTCAGCCTTTACCTCTAAATTAGTTTTTTACACCCTTCCTAAAATCTTCTTAAAAACCCACTGCCATCAAGTTGATTCTGACTCATAGTGACCCTATAGGACAGAGTAGAGCTGCCCTATAGGGTTTCCAAGGCTGTAAATCTTTACAGAAGCAAACTGCCACATCTTCCATCCACGGAGTGGCTGGTGGGTTCAAACCACCAACCTTTTGGTTAGCAACCGAGTGTTACAACCAGTGCCACCAGGGCTCCTCTAATCTTAACCCTGTTGACACCCGCCACCTATGTCAAAAGCTTTCCTTTCCTGTCTACATTGAGATAAAAAATTCTATATCAGACTTTTCTCCTGTAGAGTCATGTTTCTTTTCTCTTCCCATGGCTTCTGTTCACTCACTTGCTCACTCACTCACTCGCCATTTACTAAGTGCCAACCACTGTGTTAGGCACAAGCATACAAAGACAGAAAAAGACATAGTCCCTGCCCTCGAAGAGCTCACCGTCTATGATGTGTCTTATAAATGGATCATTATAATCTAAGAAAGTAAGTACAACGACTAAGTGATGCACAGAGTATTAGAGAAGAACCAAGGAAGGCGTCTAAACCAGCCTGGGGATCCAGGAGATGACACTAAATCAAGCCTTGCAGAATGAGCAGGAGCTAGCCTGATGAAAGGGGCAGGGCATTCCAGGCAGAGGGGACGGAATGAGTAAAGGCATGGAGAACAGACAGCATGTTGTATCTGATTTGGTGCTGCTGAAGCACAAGGTGGAAGGAGATGAATCTGGTGAGTCCCTCTAGGGGGCAAGGTCACACCCTATAGACAACACAAAGCCAATGAAGGGTTCTAAGCTGGAGAGTGAAACTATCAGATATGTGGTTTAGGTAGACATTCTAGCTGATCTGTGGGAACAAAAGAGAGGCCGGGAGACCAGTCAGCAGGCTTTTCAGGGGTTCAGAAGAAGAGCCTCTCGAGATGAGCAACTGAAGGGAGATCAAGGGGATGGGTTAGATTCAAGAAAATGTAGGATATAAAACTGGCATGATTTGGTCATGGCATGTAGGGGAGACAGTGTAGGAAGACTCAAGAGTGACTCCCAAGTTTCTGGCATGGTTAACTGGTCAGATGACGAAGCCAACAACAGGAGAGAGAGTAAGAAACCAGAGATATCAGGGGAGATGCTGAGTTCAGTTTAGGATGCACTGAGTTGTGTGCCTGTGAGAAATCCAAGAGGTTATGTTCATGGCCTGCATTTGGATATATGATGAGACTCAAGCAGACATCTGAGACAGAGTGACAGACAGAGAAGCCCTCAGCTTAGAGTTGCTCCTGTTACCTAGTTTTCCTTAAAGAAGGCAAAAGTTTGTGAGGCAGGTAAAAGGAGGGACTGTATTTGGGGCAAAAAAAGAAAAAAAAAAGAGCTAGAGTAAAGGCATGGAGCCATGGGTGTGCTTCTCTGGGCTGCCAGGGTTAGCCCTGAAGAGATCACTGTGGATTTTGGTTGTCCCACTGCAAGCAGAGCCCTTATGGGTCATTTTCCCTTCCTGTTTTTAGAGGACAGGTGTGCTCACACCCAAGACGTTCCTGACTGCTGCATAAACCAGACGGTTAGCTTGTTCCTTTAGTCAAGCGGCTGTATGCATGCCATACATCTGTTAAAATGTTCTATTTGTCCCTGAGGGGAAAAGAGAATGTAACCTAAGTATATTCATAGGCCTGTACTGGTGCACTGAAATCTGAATTCCTGCAATGGTTTTTAACCAGCGCTGTGTGTCAGAATGACTGTGGAGACTTTTAATTTACTCCAGCCTGCCCCTGGCCTGCTGCTCCCATCAGGGGATTCTGATATTGGTGAGAGAGGGTGTGATACAGTGGTAATCTAAGCTTGTGTATTTTTCAGAAGCTCACAAGTGATGAGAGAACTACTGCCTTTTGAGTCTGCACTGTGGTGTTTCCCAGGTGTACTGGGTTGGGAAGTGTCCCCTAAAAATTCATGTCTACCTGGGACCTTGGAACATGACCATATTTGGAAGTAGGATATTTGCAGATATAATCAATTAAGTTAAGGTCATACAGGATTAGGGTGAGCTGTAATCCACTGAGTGGTATCTTTATAAGAAAACAGAGACACAGAAGACAGGGAAGAATGCCACGTGAAGATGGAGGCAGAGATTGGAGAGAGCGGAGTCTACAAGCCAAGGAATGCCAACCAGCAGGAGCTAGGAGAGAGGCATGGAGCAGATTCTTCCTCAGAGCTTCCAGAAGGAATCTAACTTGATGACACCTAGATTTCAGACTTCTGGTCTTCAGAACTGTGAGAGAATAAATTCCTGTTCATTCAAGTCATCACCAGTTATTATCTGATCGAATTAAAAGCTGTCTTCTATTCATAGGCCATATGCATGTGTCCAACAATGATTAGTGATCTTACCCTGTTTCTTTTTCTTCATGTAATTTACCACCACCTGACATTCTATTAGGTATGTATTTAGTTGTTTACTACTTAGTTATCTGTCTTCTCCACTAGACTGTAAATGTCCTGAAAGGAAAGACTTTGTCTTGGTCATGTTTGTATTCCCAACACCTAACATAATGTCTGGAATAAAGTAAGCACTTAGTAAATACACTTGAATGAATATTTTTACCTGCTAATGCTTGTTATTTAACAGGAATTCCTTCAGCTTTGAACATGATGATTCTCTTTTATGACCTTTGAAATATAAACAAAAACCAGACACCACACTGAAATGAATAAAAGTGTGTAGAATGTATAAGATCTACGTACCTTAGCATAGTCTAATCTTCCTTTTTCTTGAGCCTAAAATGAGAAGAGGGGATATCAATTCATTAGTTTCTTAAAAATTAGTGTTTCTGTAACTTTTACTTCTCAAAAAATAAAACTAGATAAAACTCTCTCTGTATGCGTATCAATGTTTACACACACACATATACATATATATGTGCACACACACACAAAAGTATACATATATATGTATACACACATATTTAGTTATAGTTGTTAAAGTAGTAATTTAGAATAAACCAAATAGATCCATTAGATAAAACTATTTTTAAATCTGCTAGTGGAAAGCATTTTCCTCTAAACACATTAAACTACTAATGTGATGGTTTTCAAAGTATATTTTGTGGAACTGCTAATTTCATTTTCCCTCAACCTTTCATTATGAAAATTTTCAAACATATAGAAAAATTGAAACAACAATGAATACACATATATGCTCTACTTAGATTTGTGTATTAGTTATCTGGTGCTGCTATAACAGACATACAACAAGTGGATGGCTTTAACAAACAGAAATTTATTCTCTCACAATCCAGGAGGCTAGAAGTCCAAATTCAGGGTGTCAGCTCCAAGGGAAGGCTTTCTCTCACTGTCAGCTCTGAAGGAAGGTCCTTGTCATCAATCTTCCCCTGGTCTAGTAGCTTCTCAGCACAGGGACCCCGGATCCAAAGGAAACACTCCACTCTTGGCTCTTTTTCCTTGGTGGTATGAAGTCCTTCTCTTCTCTGCTTGCTTCTCTCTTTTATATCTCAAGAGAGACTGACTCAAGATACAAGCTAATCCTTAGATTGAGTCCTGTCTCATTAACATACCTGCCTCATTAACATCATAGAGGTTAGGATTTAGAACACATAGGATAATTGCATCAGATTACAAAATGGTGGACAACTACACAATACTAGGAATCATGGCCTGGCTAAGTTGACACACATTTTGGGGGGACATAATTCGATCTATAACAATTTGACAGTAGCAGACCTCATGACTCTTCACCCCAACATGCATCAGCATACATTGTGTAAGCATAAGACATCTCATACATAACCACATGACCATTATCAAATTTAAAAAAAGAACAATGCCATATCGTCTAACATACACTCCGTATTCAAAGTTCCCCCACTGTCTAAAGAATATCTTTTATAGTTTCTTCCACAAACCAGGATCAAACACTGCACTTAAAAAAAAAAAAATTATTGTGGTAAAATATACTAACAAAAAATTGCCATTTTAACCATTTGTAAGTGTATAACTAGGTGACATTAATTACATTCACCATGTTGTGCAAGTATCACCACTATCTATTTCCAAGAGTTTTACATAACCTTGAAGAGGAACTCAGGATGTCTTCAGCTATTACTCCCATTCCCTCCTTCTCCAAGTCCCTGGTAAGCACTAATAAACTTGGGTATCTATGCATTTGCCTACTCTAGATCATATAATGGGATCATACAATATTTGTTCCTCTGTGTCTGACAAATTTCATTTCAGCATGTTTTCAAGTTTCATCCATGTTGTAGCATGGATCAGGACTTCATTTCTCTTTACGGCTGAATAACATTCCATTGTATGTATATACCACATTTTGTTTATCCATTCATGTGAGCATGGACACTTGTGTTGTGTCCACCTTTTGGCTAATGTGAATAATGCTGCAATGAATACTGGTGTACAAGAAATCTGTTTGAGTCCCTGCTTTCAATTCTTTTGGGTATATACCGAAGAGTGGAATTGCTGGACCATATGGTAATTCTGTTTAACTTTTTAAGGAACTGGCAAACTGTTTTCCACAGCAGCTGCACCATTTTACAATACCACCAGCAATTTCTCCACATCCTCACCAACACTTGTTTCCATTTTTCTGATAACAGCCATCCTAGTGGGATGAAGTGGTATCTCACTGTGGATTTGATTTGCATTTCCCTAATGACAATGAGCATATTTTCATGTGGTTTTTGGCCATCTGTGTATCTTCTTTGGAGAAATGTCTATGCAAGCCCTTTGCCCATTTATTTTTTATTTTATTGTGCTTTAGGTGAAAGTTTATGGTACAAATTAGTTTCTCATTCAAAAATTTATACACCAATTATTTTGTGACATTGGTTGCAATCCTCGCAACGTGTCAGCACTCTCCCCCTTTCCTCTCTGGGTTCTCTGTGTCCATTCATCCAGTTTTGCTGTCCATTCCTGCCTTCTCATCTTTGCTTTTGGGCAGGTATTGCCCCTTTGGTCTCATATACATGACTGAACTAAGAATGTCCACTTTTTAAATTGGGTCGTTTGTCATTCTGTTTTGAGTTGTAGCAGTTATTTATATATTACGGGTATTAAACCCTTACCAGATATATGGTTCCCAAATATTTTCTCCCAATCTATAGGTTGTCTTTTTACTTTCTTGATAATGTCCTTTATGTACAAAAGTTTTTAATTTTGATAAAGCTCACTTTATCTATTTTGTCTTTTGTCGATCATGCTTTTGGTGTCTCTAAGAATTCATTGTAAAAAATTAGGTCCTTAAGCTTTACCCCTATTTTTATTCTAAGAGATTTATGGTTTCAGTTTTTATATTTATTGACTCATGTTCTTGGTTATGTCTCACTTTAGCTTTTTAAAATCTAGAATAGCCCCTCTTCATTTTTCATGAAATGAGAATTAAAAACCATTAACTTTTTTTTCATGAAAACCATTGATTTTTTGAGAAGTTCAGGATAGTTCTTATAAAATGTCTCACTTTTTGGATTTGTCTGATTATTTCCTCATGTGTCATTTAGCTTGTCCCTGTTTTCCTTGTAAATTTAAAGTTGGGTCTGAAGATACGAGCTTAGGTTTCAGTTAAACATTTTTGACAAGAATACTTCATACGGAATATTATGTACTTCATATTTCATCATTTCAGGAGGCACAAAACATCAAGCAATCTCACAATTGCTGTTGTTGTTGTTAGGTGCTGTCGTGTCGGTTCCCACTCACAGCGACTCCTATGTACAACAGAACGAAACACTACCCAGTCCTGCACCATCCTCATGATCATTGTCCTGCTTGAGCCCATTGTTGCGGCCACTGTGTCAATTCATCTCACTCTTCAGTCTTCCTGTTTTTCACTGACCCTCCACTTTATTAAGCATGATGTCCTTCTCCAGGGACTGATCCCTCCTGATAACAAATCTAAAGTATGTGAGACAGAGTCTTGCCATCCCCCAACATAGATTTGTTTGTTCTTTTAGCAGTTGATGGTATATTCAATATTCTTCACCAACACCATAATTCAAAGCCATCAATTCTTCTTTGGTCTTCCTTATTCATTGCCCAGCTTTCACATGCGTATGAGGCAACTGAAAACACCATGGCTTGGGTCAGGCATACCTAAGTCCTCAAAGTGACATCTTTGCTCTTCAACACTTTAAAGAGGTCTTTGGCAGCAGATTTGCCCACTGCAATGTATCGTTTGATTTCTTGACTACTGCTTCCATGGGTGTTGATCCTGGATCCAAGCAGAATGAAATCCTTGACAACTTCAGTCTTTTCTCCATTTATCATGATGTTGCTAATTGGTCCAGCTGTGAGGATTTTTGTTTTCTTTATGTGGAGGTGTAATCCACACTGAAGGCTGTAGTCCTTGATCTTCATCAGTAAGTGCTTCAAGTCCTCTTCACTTTCACAAGCAAGGTTGTGTCACCTGCATAATACTATTAGTAATGCTATAATAAATTTGGTAATTTGGTTAAGGTAGTAACTATCAGATCACTCCACTCTAATGATGTATTTCCTCCTAGTGAGTAGTAAGTAACATGTGGAGTCAAAGTTTATTTTAAAAAGTATTTTTGGTTAGGAACATATATATCAAATTTTGACATAATAGAGACAACAAATGTGTTAAACTTTGGTGCCAGGTGAACTTCAGAATACAGCTTCTCCTGCCACCTATGCAAAGAACAAGAGCCCTTCAACTTATAAACAGCTTAGGTCCTGAGACCACTTTGCTCCTGAGTCTAAAATGACACTATTCAAGCAATTAATGTGGGCCGATTACTTTCACGAGAGAAAGGAGACGTTGATAAAATTGGTCCTGACACTTCTTGCTTCTTTGCAATCCTTTAAAAATTTATTCAGAGATGCCTGTGTTTTGACTTTCTTATTTTCATAGTAAGTAACTTATAACAGTACACTGCTCATGCGTAGCTGTTGGCACATTACAAACTGCTTTAAGTTAAAATCTGTGACTTAAAACTTTTCAGTGAAACAAAAGGCCTCTACAACCAATGTGCTATAAAACAAGAATGTGGGATCCTCAGTCTGCTTTTCAAAGTTTTTTAAGGGCCTAGACTTTTTAATGAACTAAGAGGAGTTTGAACTTAGTCCTGAGATGCATTGTACCACTAAGAATATGAGTCAGTTCTTCCAGAAATTTTAAAAATCAGGCTTATTCTTTCTGCTCAGGTATTTTATATTTGTTTGTTGATGGTCATCTTTTCCCAAAATAGAGTTTTGTCTACACTGAAAATCTAGTCCCTCCCCACCATAACTTCTGCAGGAATGGTGGGGAACCCCTGAACATATCTGTATAGTGCATTCATGACCTAGTTACTCCCTTTGACATTGAGCAACTATTAACTGGCCTTGATCCTATGAATAATTCATGGCTTGTGACCAAAATTTCAACAGCAGCAATTTCACAACAGGCTTAGACTTTAAGTTCTCAAACTTAAACTTTCTCTTGAGTTCATTTTAGGTTAACAAGTATCTGACACTGAGGCTGATGCTGGCATCACAAGCTTTCCCTTTTTCAATTTGTCCATCCTTTTCCTTATCTCTCGCTTACTATGGATTGCTCAGGCACACCACTCTTCAAATGTCACACAAACTGGGGGTCCCACAGAATTGCTCCTACTGTCCAACAACTTATTCCAGAAACAGACGCCCTTTCCTCCTCACTTTCAATTTAGGTTCTGTTCTAACCCCTCCTCTTCATTCTAGCTCTTTCAACATTCTCATCTTTCTATGTTTAACACAAAGGA